TAAGGTACACCTAAGTGAGACTGCTGAATAAACACAGTAACAGACACTACTCTCAGTACAAAGTGGATTCCTACACGCAACTTAGTAGATGGAGAGAAACTGGAGATCAGCTAAAATGGAAGGATTAACAAAATGAATTACACACTGAGAAAGTAGCATGAAATCAGACAAGTAGCCTTTCATGTGGTGGGAANCTGCAGCAATTGATTCACCTGCAAACAAAAATGCTATGAGGACAAGTTGTAAACACTGAAATTGCTCTTCATTCATTGTCAAGTGAGTCGCCAAGATGAAGTTGAAAGGGAATCGTAAGTGTGTTAGGTTGGTTGGCACAACTGGTGGAGTTAGGGTCAATTGGACTTCTCTTTTATTCCAAAGAGAAAATATCCAGACCCTCCAGCAAAGAGGGTGGCCACCAGCAGCCCAGTTGAATCAAATCACTGGTGACAGAACACAACAGTCGAACAGATTACATGTGTCCTATACATTAGTTGCATGAGCCTTCTATCCAAGAAACAGCACGGAGGTGGTCATATTAACGAAATTGGGGAATCCTCCAAACATTGAGGACTCCAAATAGCCAGTCATATAAATGAGAAAATCAGAACATGTTCTCCGAATAGGATATACTAAAAAACAGAACGAAGATTGAGATCCTTCACTATCTTAATGAGTTAACAATAAAAAAGGACAGCTCGGTGTACCAAGTATCAATATTCACGCAGGGCCCGAGGAAGGGCCACACCCCAAGGGGTGTGATGTAGGCAGCCTAGCCTGATGCATGGATCAGCGGCGGCTGATTCCACGACTCGAACCCATGACCTATAGGTCAGACGGAGTGAACAATACTAAACATAAAAAGAATGACAAACTGTATCTTAAGGATGATCCAAGTTCATGTAACTGAAAAAACCACTGGAGCAAGTGGAACTTTTAATTTAGTTCAATACCTGTGGTGCAACTAATCTCCGAGGAAGAAGCTCTTCATGGCGCCGAGCACAAAATTCCCATGACAATATCTGAAGAGAAGCAGAAAAAGCAAAGCTATAGACGACTTAAATAAATTATGCCCTCACAGCTGATCATTTTTTACGGTACCTTCAAATCAGAGGTAAAAATGATTCGAAGTTGACCCTCTCGAACCACGCGAAGTTGTTCATATACACTTTCCTGAACTGCTTTCGCATATTCCAACATCATTAATCCTGAGGGGAACCTGCATTCACGCGGAAAATCCAAAAACAAGAGTTCATCGATGACACCACTGCTAAATTTGATTTCGTTCAGCCTGGGAAGAACTTCGAAAGTTGCCTCTGTTAAAAAACACCAAGAACAAGAAGCTAGTCAGAAACAAGCAGATCAATTATTTGGTAGTGATCATGATTATGAGATGAAGACCCTAATCATTGCAATGTATGCTGACACAAATTCAGATATCAGATAGACAGGTCTTATGCATCATCTCTCAGATTCTTCCCGCGCAACCTCGTGCTTTGTCCAAGAGTTTTTGGGTGCATTATTTTTCTTTCGTTGACTTTTTCCCATGGAGGGATGAAAGTGGGGGAGGTCTGGCAATAGTGAATTGTTAACACATCAACTATCCCCTCATCTCCTTATATTTCCTGCAGAGTGCTAAAACTGCTCAGATGAAAACTTCTACTTTGAATATGAAAACCCTGAATGACGTCTTTTCAAAATGCCAGTCTTCTACAGTTCTACCTCCAGTTCTAGCTAAGTAAATAATAACTATCTTGTTCTCGCAAACTTTTATGAAGCAGATGCTTATGCCAAGCATGTTTAGACTCGGCTGTTGATGCAAAAATGATCAGAAAAGAAAATATCTCCAGGGACTTTAACCAGAGCAATTACAGTGAGTGAAGAAAGCTGATAAAGAAAAAATAAAACCACACATGTAATGCAAAGAAAAGATAACTATAAACACAAATAACAATTACATGGAGAAAGGGATTGAGAAAACTGCATAAAAAGAAACATATGAAGTAAGAACCACGTTAATTAAGTCCATTTTAAAACTCTATTTCATATGGAAAGATGCAGTATCAAGTTTCTAAATCAGATAGAATGACTAATTTCATCGTACTAAATATCTAATTTTCTTTTCCTGATCAGTAACATATTCCCCTGTAACGCTTCTATGAATTATATATCACTTTTCCGTCTATATTTGTTGCCTCTTCGAAAATAGCACATGCATGCTGAGTCAGATGTCTTAGCGCCTTTGAGGCTGCATAATTATCAGTTTTGGCATATTCTGACGACTGAGTGCACAAAGAAAGCAGGAGTTGGAACTGTGGCCACTTGACATACTTCACATTTTGATGTGACACAGGTAACCAAATGTGACCAGAAATGGATATGTCATAGGACGATCCCATGAGCCACGAATCAATCTACAAATAAGATCGTGTATTTCCTATTCTAAAACAAACAATAAGAGCACCCTCTACTGACAACTCTAGCGGTTTTCTAAATCACCAAGTCATTAATGTATAAATGAGCATCTTAAGACCTTGGATACAGGTTTACACTTTTCTTTATCTTCGTCTTTATTTTGTGTGTGTGGGGGGGGGAGTTGAATATGACACTTAAGTCCCAGGTTAGGAACTTATTAATATTCTAATTTGGATAAGCACTTGCATATATTTTACTAGCAACATGCAGGTTCATGCAAGACCATCTATGCTTTTTCTGAATGTCACGTTTACACAGCTCCATCTACTGTGGTCCAAATGTTAATTCCTTCAAGAAATCTACCCTTCTTGGAAGAGATAAGTTGAACCTTGAATCAATATGTCCTTTCCCAACAGTTCCTTGGATCCAAGAAAGACTGCACCAACTTTCACTATGGCCCAATGAGGTGAAACTAGACAATATAGTGTATTTATGCAGATAGAGTGTCTGATACAAGTTGAAATTTGACCTTCCACGCATACAAAATAATATTCACCAACCCTACCCATAATTACTCCAGTCTTTCAAGTAGACGTTATAGAGTTCAACGCAAAGGCAATTGCATCTCCTATTGTAAAAAATAGTTTAACTCTATGTACCAAGCTGCGCTATAAGTTAAGTTGATACTACACGAGTAATAGAATTGCAATATCTAGAACCTGACATAACCTAAAACCACTTATAGTAATGTGTCAGCTGCAAATCAATGACTACTATTTGACAACTTCCACTTACCAAATCCTCTGCCTGATTTTGAGCCACAAATATCACAATGCCATGCATCCTGGTGCCAAAAAAAAAAAGGAAAAGAGTCAAAAAAATTAGAATATGTTGCTTATGGAATTATTTTAAGGAGATGATGAATTAAAGTTATGTAAGACCACAGAGCCATAATATATCAAGCAAGCAGGAGAATATCACAAGAAGAAAATAGACAACACCAAGCATATGCTCATACAATACTCTCTCTGAACTAAGCATTCAGCATAGCGCATGAGGTTGAACAAAACGAGCACTAACTGATAGCAGTGGTCGTAGAACTATTTCTAACTTTAGGCCTTAGAAAGAAGAAACTAATTCAAATAGAAAATCCATGATAATAAATATTACCATGGTTGATTGTGGAAACACGCCAAGTGAATGATGCCCAACATTCTCGTATAATGACAAGCACCATCTCTTCTTTGCCCGCGGGGAATAATACTCAGCCACAAACTTTCTCCAATAGGCAATAGAGTTATCCTATTAGACATAGTAAATCAAATAGAAATGAGACACATGAACTTGTTCTATATGGGTCATTCATCACAACTAGAAATAATGTCACTCACAGGAGGTCGTTGCCTCTGATGATACAAGTATTGCATTAACCGTCTAGAGCACAAGACCCCATCAGATGGGCGCTTCATGGCTGATACAGGCTGCATGCTTTGTTGTTGAAGTTGTTGCCTTAGCTGCAGCTGCTGCTGTTGCTGCAGTAGCTGGGCTCTCTGCATCGGTGGCAGATACTGCAACAACTGATGCTGTTGTTGCTGCTGTTGCCTCAGCCTCTGCTGCTGAATCAAGGCTTGTAACTGAGGATTGGAGTTCTGCATGTGCAAAGGATCTTGTCTTTGCAACAACTGTTGCAGAACTTGCTGCTGTAGAATATCTTCCTGCTTGATGTCCAGCCGCGGTTTCTTTTGCATATGCGACAAAGCAACAGGATCCTGGATGAATGATCCTGGAACCCTAAGGCCTTGACCATTAGGCAGCTGAACCTGACCCACTCTAGATGTGGGCAAAGATGTAGCACTAGAAGCGCCCTGACGCTGCTGATTATGTTGAGGTTGTTGGGAGTTTGGGTCTTGGTTAGAGCTTTGCTGAACCATGGAAGATCCATCCATGACTGATGAACCAGACACACTTATGTTATTAGAAGAAAATGACAAAGGTGATGCAGGCAACCGCATGTAGGATTCATTATTAATGCTGGCACTTCTCTGAAGATTGGGACCCCCTGAAAGTCCTGAATTGGCATCCGTAACCAATGAACTTGCCCCAACACTAGGACCTGAGCTTGCTACGCTATTCAGAACTGTATTACTAACATCCCCAGATAGAGGACCCAAACTTGACCGTGGATTTCCAGGTAGTGAATTCGATGAATTCCCAAAAGATGAAGTCAAGTGAGAATTTCCGACAACTTGAGACTGTCCATCTCCTTGGAAAAAGATACCAGAACTTGAAGAAGAATGTGCCATCCCTCCAGCCACCCGAGAAGGCGCCATTGGAGGCACAATCCCCTGGTGGCTGGAATCCAAGTACCTCTCCAGTGCTTACCCTTTTTTTTTCAGGTTCTACAGTGCAGAACTAAGTTCAGAACTTCTTATGTAACCTTCAAAATTTCATCAAAACAATCTAGAAACATCAAATTATCCGAATAAATTACTATCTTCACCAACAAAATGCAGCACCAGATCGTTTTGGCCTGTATAGTAACAACATTTTGGCATACTCATCATTAGAAGAAGAAAAAAGTCAACAAGAATTACATATTAAGAACCCAAGTAATTTTTGCATCCATAAAAACCCTAATCTTACAAACAGCTAAAAGAAAAAAGAAAAAAAACAGAACTTTTCCTAGCTTAAACCCAGATAATATTAACTTAAAAACTCCAGAATATAGAAAAAGGTTAATTACAAGTAAGATCAAACAAACTCCCAAAATTAGACATTTTTTGCATGCACCCAGTACCCAAAATTTGGTACAATAGTGAAAAAATTACTCGAATCTTAAGCAAATTCTAAAGAAAACCATCTCTATAACACTAATTCATCTTCTGATTAGCTTTAGTTTCACCCCACTTGTAAGTTATATCAAAAGATCAAGAAACAAACAGACAAAATTCGACAAAATCCATATTGGCAGCTCATTGTATTAAGATAACAGCAATTACAACCAAAAAGTTTAAAGCTACATAATTCTTTCAGGAAAAAATAAAAAACGGAAACAGGTAGAAAAAAACTACACTGGAAAAGAAGAGCTACAAACCTTGCAAGAGCTAAAACTAGATAGAGAGAGAGAGATTTTAGGGACTAATTAATCGGAGGAAACTTCGATCGCGATTTTTATACCTAGCGGGAAACTGACCGGCTAGACCTGTTGGTTAACCCTACAAAACCGGTTGTAGCCGGTTACCTTATGGACACGTTGCAATTGTAATAAGATCACGTAGGCGGTGCTTAGATCATGCGGTGGCGAAACGAGGTCGTTGCATTGACAGGACACGTGGTAATCTTCTGTTGGTTGATCTTGAAACGGAGAACTTAACAGGGTAGGTCTCGTTAAGGTAGTGATTCGCTACGGGTCATATAAGTTGGAGGTGGAACCATGCCACCATCTATCATTTCTTTGTTATCATTCCTTTTGTTCATACTACTTATAATTATAATTTGCCCATAAACAATATTTTTCATATTAACAAATATTAATATTTAGTATTTATAAATATTTATTCAATTTATCAATTTGTAAAAGTGAATTACTGATGAAGTGTTGAGAAACTTATTTGAAAAGTTTTTCAGTGAAATTCATGAACCCCAGTATAACTAAATCTTTTTTAATATTGTCTCTTTCAACTTTAATCAGAAAATTGTTTGGAAGTAATAACTAGTCAAATATTTTTCGAATCTCTGGTGCATAAGGAGAAACCAAAAGAAAAGGACATTAAGAATTCAGTGAAAGAATTCAATGGATATCAATAGATCAGATTTTTTAGTTGTTTTTGGTTTCTATCGGCATTTTACACCAAACAATGCTAATATATTATGGCTANTTTCTCTCATTTTAATAACTCATTTACTATCTAGGAAAGTGAACTAAAGAAACACAAATGAGATTTACAGAGAGATTTTAGTTTTGAAATATATAAAAATGTATTACTACTCAATTATAAGAGGACTTCAATTATGAAATATAAAAAGGAGTAATTAACTAATTAACTTGTAACTGAAAAGCACACTGATTATATAGGTGGTCTTTTTGCCCAGATTCAGATCAAACTAAATCAGTTTGTTTAAGATTATTTGAACTTTGAAGAGCTTATGCCAATTATAATGAAGCGAATGATGATGCATGCTTCAAGGGCAATGCTTTTCAAGAAGTATGACAAAGAAGTATAGAGGGAGAAATCTGATAATCCTAATATTTAAAGTACAACATTCTTACTAATTTTCCTTTCTTTGTTGCTTATTCCCTTTTAAATGATGTTTGGAGATAATCTTTTCTACTTTGCCTACATTGGTCACGATCTTAAGTTTCAAGAAAAGGATAGCTCGGCAAGTATATTTTTATACCGTAAAAAGGTTATTAGATATATGAGTTGTGAATTTTTTAGAAATCGTGGCATAATTTTATATGTCAAATGGTTGGAGGCCTCATCTTTTTGTGATATTTCTTTGAAGATTATATTTAAGTGTTTGTTTATACAAAAAGTGGCTTTGTTTATTGGAATATAAATTGTGTGTTTGCGTTTTGCTATCAATTATTTGATTGTTTGATCTTTTTTATTATTATTTATTTATTGTGCAATTAGATAAGGTAATAAAAAGTTGTAACTGTTACTAATAACTTTTTACGATCAATCAATTAGAACTTCTGACTTCTCGTACATAGTGCATAGTATCATCAAATTAAATGTATAATAAATAAAATTAAAAAAGAACACCAGGGGAAAAAAAAGAGTGACAAGGTTCTGGTCTTTGGTTTTTCAAGCAATCTAGATAGCCTATGCACCCTTTAACCGGTACCCTTCAAAGCTTAAATTTGGCTCAGTTTAGTGATATTTCTTTTGAGAGCAATACTTGGACATAATGTGGAAGGGGGTGTATCTTCTTTTAAAAAACGGGTAATCTTTTATGTTGAAAAAATTAATTTTTTTAGTAACAAATAGTTGTAATTTATCTATGTCTGATCTGAGGATTTTAAGAATATTATTGTCCGGACGGTAAAGCAATTGAAAATCAATAGGAACATATCTATTATATTCTCTCACTTTCTTTTTATAAAGTTATGCTCACAAGCTCCGTTCGTGTTATGTGCGAGATTATTTTTTGTTACAACTTATAACTTGCATGTATGTATGATATCTGGATTTACAAAAGTATTATGTGTATGCATCGGGTCAATGGGTTCCTCCCAATGTGTCAAATGCGAGAATGTTTTTATTTTTGAATGAAATTATATTGTACATCTTAGTATTTCTCCTGAAAAATCAGAAAAAATGTATCATCAAATTGAGTCTATGTCGTTATATGATGTGTTTGACAATTTTATTTTTGCTCTTTCTATGTAAGATTGTTATTATTTGTGGTTTTTAATTTTCCTAAAATGAATAGGTATGTTTAATGATTAAGAAATAAAATGGTCTAAATAGAGCAGAGTGAGAATTATAACTTCTTCCCCTCCTCCTCCTCCGCATCTTCCTCTTTCTGCTTCTTCTCCTTTTCTGTCTTCTTCTTTGTCTTTTTTTTTCCTTTCATTTTTTAGAAATAATGTGTTTATGTGTGTTCTTGCCTTGATTGTTTGGTATAGATCATATTTTATATTCTTTGTATTAATATAGTAAAAATATAAAATAATAGAAATACAAAGAGTTGAACTTTGATTAAATATTATAAAAGTGATATTTTCTCAATTTTCATTAAGTGTTTTAAAAGTTATATTTTCTTTGTTTTTCCTTTAATATCTTATTTTGAAAATTCAATAATATTCCAAATACAAAAGTAGAGAAAACGAATGAAAATGAAGAGTAATGCAAAGAAATAGAAATACAAAAACTAAACCTTGTGTTAAATTTTTATTTATTTATTACTCTTTTATATCATAAAATAGTACTGTAATACATAGAAGAACTATTTGTTATGTTGGATTATAAATTACGATATATATTACATATCTTTTGCAGAACTTTTGTTTAATATTAATGTTATCGTTTCGTGGCATAATGTAGGATATCATTAAATATGACAAATAGCACAATAAAGTACTAATGTCAATAGTTAATGTTTACTCAAGTACATTGCCTTAATTAATTATTTAATTTTATTTTCATCTATAAAAGAAGATTTAGTCTCTCAATTTAAACCTTCAAATTAGCCCGATAAAGTTCTTGCAAAGGAGCAGAGTATATGCTTTCATGTATATAAAAAATAGAGAAAGCGAGTCATGAGTGAGTCTTGAAAATTATAGAAACAAGCAATCAACCTTGAAAATATAATTAGATCACAACTATGATTTATGGTTGAAGAAGATAAAATTGAATAAAGGTAAAGATTTTTGTAATTGTCAAAATTTTAACAATAAATTTTCATTCATATTTTATCTTTTTAAGACCGCGCTAGCAAATTAACTAGTTGATGATGAATAGTGAAAACGGGAAAGTATATGTATAAGCACATATAATACACTAATTGCCTCGGTATAAATATCCGTTGCGAGTAAGTTTTTACTAATTTTTCTCATAAAAGACAAGTTTGAGAATTGGATACAAATAGATGATTGTGTCTTATTATTAATCCCATCTGATTCTAATACGTTTATCCCATATCCTTCTAGGTTCTTTTTCAAATGTTATCCTTTTCTCAATAAATATGTCAATACATTTTATAAAGCGGTAACATAAATATTTTGTACGTGAAAGTAATTTTACTCATTCCAATAAAAACAATTAATATGAGTACACATACAAAAAAGATTACTCGTTTCAAAAAATGATTACAAAAAAATTATTCGTTTCAATAAATATTAAAAAAAGACAACGTAAACATATACATTTTCAGGAAAAAAAAAATGCTCTCCTTAAAAACTATCAGACTAAACCATTGTTACAGTTTAGTAGTATAAGTAGGAGTCCATCACGTAGTATATGTGAGTTTAATTTTGGTTGTCTCCCTTCCCCTGTAAGTTGTGGTCCACGTGGCCTTTATTTGGTTTAATAAATTTAATGATAATATTAATATATTAAATCCTATTAGAGATGGGAAGTTACCTAGTGATATTAAAACTACTCAAATTCTTCATGTTGATGAACCTGAAAATAACTGCTCAAAGGAAACTCTCTTTTATAAAGGGTCATCTCTCTCTGCCAATTAAGGAATAACGTTTTCCATAAGACGTTTTCTGTAAGTGAAGGAAAAGAGAGAGAAATCAGTCCTATCAAATACAAGATTAAAGCAATTCCGCACAAGTTCAAGAAAAACTCGTTATAGATTATGGTATGTTTTTCTTGAATAAACAATTGTAGTTATGTGTTATTGTGAAAACCATAAAATTTCATGATCTTGAAATTATTGAAATAACATGGATTAGATTATTTAAATTTATAATCAAGAAACTGAAAATACTAACATCTGGTATCAAGAGCAAGGTTTACAAACTAGTGGTTTTCCATTAAGATTATAAGAAAGTTTTATGTGAGGCACAATCCTTAAATATAAAAGAAGTTATCTTAAGTGTTTGCCACATAGTGAAAGATTATAGTGGGAAGTATTTCCATAGAACCAAAATTATGTTTGCTGAAAACTATTGTAATGATTCGACCTGTCGTTTTGAACATTTACGCTCTTCTCAACTATTTAAAATCTTGAATAGCTTCATATGATGTATTATGACGTGTGTGAATCGTCGGTTTTGATTTTTAGGTGTTTCGGGATTAGTTCGAAAGAATGAATTTCATGTTGGAAGATTAAATGAAAAGGGTTGACAGGAATTTGACTTTTATACAAACGACTCCGGAATGGAGTTTTGATGGTTCTAATAGCTCCGTATGGTAATTTCGCACTTAGGAGTGTGTCTGGATATTTATTTTGAAGTCCATAGTTGAATCTGGCTTGAAATGATGAAAGTAAGAAATTGAAGGTTTGGAAGTTTGATCGGAAGTTGACTTTTATGATATCGAGTCCGAATTGTGATTCCCGAAATTTCAGTAGCTTCGTTATGTCATTTATGACTTGTACGCAAAAATTTGAGTTCATTCCGGATTGGTTTGATATGTTTCGGCGCAAGATTTGGAAGTTGAAAGATTTAAAGTTCATTAAGTTTGAATTGAGGTGCGATTCGTCGTTTTGATGTTATTATATGTGATTTGAGGCCTCGAGTAGATCCGTAATATGTTTTGAGACTTGTTGGTATGTTCGGACGGGGTCCCGATGGGCTCGGGTGAGTTTCGGGGTGGTTTCAGACCATTTCTAGGCCATTTCTAGTTGTTGGTTTTTGGCTACATAGGTGTACATTACGATAGCATGGACCTGGCCGCGATAGCGAAGAGAAAAATAGGAAAAATGGAAATGTGCATCGCGATCGCGGAAGCCTTCACGCGATCGCATAGAATAAAATCTCTGCTGCACTGATCCAACTTTAGAAGTTTATATCTCGCAATATATAAGGAATTTGAAAATAATCTAAAAATAAAAGTTGTAGCGCTTGGTGTCTAGTTTTGAGAAAGTTAAACTATTTGTCATTTGAAGTTTTGTACAAAAACTTATGACCATTATAATAGAAGCTGTCCAGAAGAGTTGGACAAGGCTGTTGGAAATATGTTCATCGCGATCGTGGGGAAATGACCGCGATTGCATAGAGTAAAAATGTGCTGGAAATTTTTGTGCTTTGCGATCGCATAGGGTAAATGACTGGGCAGCAGAACTTATGTTCTGAAAATGAGACTTCGTCTCATTTTCTATTTTTTCAGATTTTGGAGCTTGATTTGGGCGACCTTGGAGAGGAATTTCACCACACAACTTGGGGTAAGTGTTCTTGACTCCCTTGTGATTATATTTCATGAATTAATCTTTATTTTTGGCATTAGATTATTGATTTTTCAAGAGAAATTGGAGGAATTTTCTATAATTCCTTAAAATGAATTTTTGAGTTTTGAACATCGATTCAGAGTCAGATTTGAGTAAAATTAGTGTGGTTGGACTCATAATTGAATGAGTTGTCAGATTTTGTAAGTTTCATCGGATTCCGATACATAGGCCCCACTGTCAATTTTTCGAGCGGAGTTGGAAATTTTTATAAATTGTTAAATTATAAGCATTGGAGTATATTGTAATTAGTTTGCACGTGGTTTGAATAGATACGAATCGTTTGGCTTGAATTGAGGAGATAGGAAGGCGTTTGGAGGTTGATACACGCGGACTGAAAATTTCTGGGCATTGTTTATCTTGCTCGGCATTGGATTGGCTTGTTTGAGGTAAGTGTTTTTCCTAACTTTATTGAGGGAATTTTTCCAACTAATTGCCATTATTTGTTGCATGCGGGGTGATACATATATGAGGTGACGAGCATATATGCATGTGCCAGGGTTAATCATGCTCGGGGGTAAATTATATGATTTATTGTGCTTTATAAAATTATGCGACACTCTTGTTTCATGTCTTCTATGACTTCTATATTTCTATCAATATCACATTAAATGCTAGAAACCCTGATTTGGCTTAATGTAATTTGATTAAAAACCTGACAGACTTTTGTGAAAATTATTGATGTGCTAAATCCGGTCGTTATTATACTTAATCACAAATACGACTCTACGACCGTTATTCTTGAGATTTTGAATTCTATGCAAGAGTTGAAGATCATTTTTGAGACTTGCAGAAATACTGGAATAATAAAAGTCTTGAAGTTTATTGAATTGTTATTGGCTTGAAAGTCGTGATTGATGTTCAATTTGGAACATTCGTTTAAACACTCTCCTTGATGTTATTTATGCTTCCTACCTTGCTTGTTAATGATATACATGTGCTTGGTAAGGAAGAGTGTAAAGCACGAAGGGTGATGTTGTGCCATTTCATATACATTATCATGTGAGGGAGAGTGTAAAGCACGAAGGGTGATGCCGTGCCATTTCAGTTATATTATCATATGAGGAAAAGTATAAAGCACGAAGGGTGATGTCGTGCCATTCATATATATTAATATGCACGAAGGATAATGTCATACCATTTCATATACATTATCATGTGAGGGAGAGTGTAAAGCACAAAGGGTGATGCCGTGCCATTTCAGTTATATTATCATGTGAGGAAAAGTATAAAGCACGAACGGTGATGCCGTGCCATTCATAAACATTAATATGCACGATGGATAATGCCGTGTTCATATACATTATCATGTGAGGATGAGAGTAAAAGCACGAAGGGTAATGCCGTTCCATTATTTTTATATTATCATAAGTTCATGGCACGAAGGATATTTCCGTGCAGGCGAGGACGAGAAACATACATTATATTGTGATATCTTTTCGTTGTGTATACATTCATGCCTTTATCTTGAGCTGTTATTGTGCACCTATATTTTTTATGTGACTTGTAGTCGTTGTTCTTTCTGTGTCCTCTACCCTAAGTGTTGCAGTGTATCCATGCCTTCTATCTGTTTACCTTGCAAATGTTATGATTTTCTTCTTGTTTGTTATATTTGCATCTGAGCCTTCTACCATGCTAATTAGTGAAATTCATATTCTTCCTTCCTAATTGTTGTCATAATTTATATGCCTTTTTCCCAGCATGGTTCCCTGGTCCATATGTACTACTTTGTTCATTGTTGCTTCCTGTGTGCCTCCCACCTTATTTCTTTTATTATTACTGGTATTTATCCCACCTAGTTGGTAATGTTATATGTATACTCTGTGAGAAAGAGATAAATGCACGAAGGGTGTTGCCGTGCCAATTGATTTGATCTACATATATAAATGGGGTGAGAAAAAGACAAGTGCACGAAGGTATTACCGTGCCATTTGATGTGATATCTGGAATATATTCCTCATACCAGGAAAGTTATGAATTTGCTATTGTGATTTCTCCTAGTAATCTTTTTCTGCCTCGCATAGTTGTTTCATTGTACCCCTATATGTTATGTTCTATAATTATTTCTATTGTTAGTATAATGCACAGGTTATAACAGTGAGTATCTTTTTACTAAAAATTCTCGTCACTACGTCGACGAGATTAGACAAAATACTTACTGAGTACATGAGGTCAGTTGTACTCATACTACACTTCTGCACCTTGTGTGCAGATTTTGGATGTTGATGTTACGGTGTATGACGGGAGCTGGTGTTGAAGATGTTTCCGCAATCCGGTCATAGCTGCCTCTTGTTCTTGGTAGCTTTAGAATCATTAATCTGTTCATGTATATGTCAAATAGATGATGTATTTTATTTCATATCAGCTTTGCAAATTCTAAATTTTAGAAGCTCATGATTTGTACTACCAGTCTTTGGGAAAAGTAGATAGGTTCAGTTATTTTATCATTTATTCTCCTTGATAAACCTAATTAAATTGGATTGTAGTTAATTGGCTTACCTAATGGGTTGAGTTAGGTGCCATCACGACTGGTCAGATTTTGGGTCGTGACAACTATTATGCATATAAGAGTCTTGATTCTCTGCAAATTTTTGGATCAACTAGTTTTATTTAATTTGCTTGAATATACTCCATGTTTTGTGCTATTAGTTTTCTTTAATAGCAACAAGTTATTGCCTTAATCTTTAGGCCATGATGATTCTTGTATGAGTATTAGATTTATGTATCAATTAATTATTGAGCCTGCTTCTGTATTCTGTTGCTTCAAATCTGACTATGATTTTGAGTGGGATGTGGTTTAAAATTCTTGAATCATGATACATCACAAATTTAATATGTTCATTTTCAAGAATTATAATACCAAAAATTTTGACAATTTATTCAAGTAACGAATTTGGCAGTGATTGATTTCACCCGCAATTCATAATATTGGAATTATTAGGTTTGATTCGTTAATCATCAAAGTGGTAGAATCTTTATTAATAATTAATTTCAAAATAGTTGAACTCATATTCATTTATCCATAAATTGTGATGCTTATAAACGATATAATATTTATGGGTAAATTGAAGTCCTTGATTATAAGATATTTATGGGTCGCCCAAAGGTTGATAGTTTGTTCTTATAATCATCGCACATTAAGTCGATGATTTATATGTACTATTAGTTCTATTTATGTATATCCAAAGATAGTAAGTATTACTAACTGGTGCATTAAAAATTATCGAATTAAGTTAAAATATTTAAGTATCATAATGTCTAAAGTTGTATTTTGGTGATTCACCCAAAGGAGGACATCAATATACATTTAATAATACATAAACCATTCTGAATCTAACAATATATTTAATTTTTAACTCAAAACATTAATGAATGAGCATATTTATTTGCAGCACTTGCTTGCTCTTCATTCGCACTCTGCTTCTGTTACGACTTTTAACGGACTCAACTTCTCAGATTGGTGTGAACAGATCAAATTCCATCTCGGAGTTTTAGATCTTGATGTTACACTTTATATTGAGAAGCCAACTGCTATTACTTAAACTAGCAGTACTGAAGAAAGGTCCTATTTTAAGCACCGGGACATGTCCAACAGACTAAGCCTAATGTTTATACGAATGAATATTGCGGGCAACATTAAGACTACTCTTCCCAAAACTGAAAGTGCTAAAGAACTTCTGAAACTTGTGAAAGAATGCTCCCAAACTACTGATAAATCTCTTGATGGGACACTAATGAGCACTTTAACCACCATGAAATTTGATGGTTCACATACCATGCATGAGCATATAATTGAAATGACAAATATAGCAGGAGGACTTAAGTCTTTAGGAATGGAAGTGGAGGAGATTTTTCTTGTTCAATTCATCATTAAGTCATTGCCATCTGAGTATGGTCCTTTCCAAATGAATTACAATACTATGAAAGACAAATGGAACGTGCATGAACTGCATAGAATGCTGGTTCAAGAGGAAACAAGGTTGAAGAATCAAGGAACCCACTCCATTAACCTTGTAGGCCATCAAGGAGCCGGAAAGAAAGGAAAGAAACATAAAAAGGTTAAATAGAGGCAACATAATGTCAATGAGTCCTCTTCTCAAGTACGTAAGAAGGAACACAAGAATGATAAGTGTCTTTTCTGTGGAAAACCTGGACACTTTCAGAAAGATTACATGTAAGGTAAGGCATAGTTCGAGAAGAAATGTAAGCCTTGTGCTTTTACATGTCTCGAATCAAATTTAACTGAAGTTCCTTATAATACTTGGTGGATTGACTCTGGTTCTACTGCTCATGTTTCTAATACGAAGCAGGGATTTCTTACAACCCAGATCATAAAACGGAATAAAAGATTTGTGTACATAGGGAATAGAGTGAAGGCTCCATTTAAAGCTATCAGGACTTATCGCTTAATCCTAGATACTTGGCATCACTTAGACTTATTTGAAACTTTTTATGTACCTTCTCTGTCAAGAAATTTAATTTCCTTGTCTAAGTTGGATAAAGCTGGATATTTTTTAAATTTTGGCAATGGATATTTCAGTTTGTTTAAGCATAATCATCTCATTGGTTCTGGTATTATTTGTGATAATTTATACAAATTGAACCTTGATAATCTGTTTGCCGAAACCCTCTTAACTTTGTATCATAATGTTGGAACTAAACGTAGTTTGGTGAATGAACATTCTGCTTACTTGTGGCATAAATGTTTAGGTCACATATCCAACGAAAGACTGGAAAAGGTTAGTTAAGAATGAAATCCTTCCATATTTAGATTTTACAGACCTTAATATTTGTGTGGATTGTATTAAAGAAAACAAACAAAACACACAAAGAAAGGAGCCACAAGAAGCACACAACTTCTTGAAATTATACACACTGATATATATGGTCCTTTTGATGTCACTTCTTTCAGTAAGGAAAGATATTTTATCACATTTATTGATGACTTTCACGTTATGGATATGTCTATTTGTTGCATGAAAAATCTCAAACAGTGAATATCTTAGAGGTATTTATTAATGAGATTGAAAGACAAATAGACATAAAGGTGAAAATAATCAGGTCAGACATAGATGTTGAGTATTATGGAAGATATGACGAAACTAGACAACACCTTGGTCTATTTGCTAAGTTCCTTGAAACTTGTGGCATATGTGCTCAATACACAATGCATGGTGGTCTCGTCCAAGTCACACCTCTATTTAAGGTTATAAAACGGTCGATGCAATAGTAATATCCAACAAGGAGTCGGGGTCGATTTTCCACAGGGAGTTATGAATGGGACTTAGGGGTATATATTATAGTGTATGAGCTTGAAATATCTCAAATTGCACTTTCACAAACTTGGGTTGTTTCTAGGTCTAATTTAAGATAAAATTACAAACTAAGAATTGAAACTAGGAAAGTGTTTTTGTTGTTGTTTTTCAAATGATGTAAAAGGCCTAGGGCTATGACCTTCACCTAGGTGTTTGCCTAACGGGTTGTAAATTTTAAAGCTTGTTTTATTGGTCGGGGTGTATTATAGCTATCAATACTCAAGTACCCACTCAATACCTCTCGGTAAGAGAGTGATTTTGCCAAATTTGACTTTCTCAAGTCCAAATGAGTACTGAACAAAACGGTTGATACAACGCTCAAGTCGAGTTTTACTATCTCTAGGTTTAACCCTTTAATTGGGACTATCAATCTCTCGATTTACCCAATTTTTTGTTAGCCAAGTTTTCTTAGACTAAATCTCTCTTTCTCAAGTAGAGACCAAGTCAAATAGGCATGAACTAATGTTTGCAACCATTTATTCTACAATTAAAAGCAAGAACAAGGCTAAATAATAAACATCCAACCATAAAAAAGCAATAAATCAAACACCTATTAAGATTACACTCTAGGGTTGGGTCAAAACCCTAGTGAAAATCTAGCTACCCATGCTTAAGATAGAAGAAATAGAAGAAGAAATGACAATTAAACTCATATTGATAATTAAAATGATGAACTCAATATTCAAAAAGCTCAAAATAGCAAAAACTACTAAAAGGGGTAAAAGAAACCGTCTACTGTAGCAGCTGATGTCAAAACTTAACCTAAAAAATTGAAACTCTTCTATTTATACAAAACTAGAATTTTCGGACAAAAATACCCTTTCGGAGGTTCTGCGGCCGCACAATTCCATGTGTGGTCCACACTTTTCTTTAGCTTGATAGGAGTGAGAATCTGCGGTCCGCACAAATGTGTGTGCGACTGCACCTTGCTCTTCTACGGTCTGCACAAATGTGAATGCGGCTGCATAGCTGTTCTTCTGCGGCCGCACAATAATTGTGCGGTCCGTACTTTTGTTGAACTTGAGATGCAGGTTCTCTGAACTTTTTCTCTTACCCAGTTTTTGCGACCGCACTTTTCACACTTCTCTGATGGGCGTTTCTTCACATTCTGCGGCCGCAGATGATAATCTGTTATCCGCACTTGTGAGCTTTTGTGCATGTTTTTTGTCCTTGAGTTCAGATCACTCCTTCTTGAGTTGGATTTCATCTTGGGAGATCATCTTCCAATTTTTCTATAATTAAGCACATTTTATCAGTTTACGGAAACACAATTAAGAACTTTTGGACTAAAACGAAAGCAAAAAGGCGCTAATAAGTAGTCAAAATCCCCACTTATCAACTCCCCCAAACTTAAGCTTTTGCTTGTCCTCAAGCAAATAAGGTAATTCCCACCTCCACAAGTTAAGAGCTATTCCAGCTAATCAAAGATGCATAAATCACACATCACTTGGGACCAACAATTACCCACAACACTTATGAATTATCAACAAGGCAATGAGTTGAACTTTTAAGCACAAATAGTTCTAATGTGACACTTGAGCATCAAGAGTTGACTTTATTCATCAAGGAAGCTCGTTTTTTCATGTAGGCCATTGTGGATCTCAAACTCCTCCCCCTATACTCTCCGTTTGCATATCTCACTTAAGAATATAACACTCAATTCAAAGATTTGTGATAGGTTCGCTTATCTCTCTCAAAAGAATGTCGCAAGTACAACTTTAAGTATTATAGGCTTGCCCCTCATGTAAATCACCACTAATGTACGTTCACTCGACTTGAAATCATGTAGGGCTTTTTCCAGAATGCAATGAAGGTTTTTGGACTAAGGTTGGATATGCTATGATAGAACGAGTTCATCTTTCCTTAAGCACTTCATTTTCTCTTGTCGGCTCATGCTTTGCCAACTCTTTGAGGCATTTTTTTTCTTAGGGGGGAATAGAGAGATTTAACATCACTCTTTCTTGGTCATGATATTCATTTTCACCTTCTTTGCTTTCTCCATGCTTTGCATCATTACTTTTCTTTGAATCCCTTCAACTCTTCAACTTATTCACTTTCTTTTTGCATTATTCTTTTTGTTCTTTCTTTCTTTTTCTTGCTTTTCCTTCTCTTTATTTTTTTCTCTTTTTGTGCCTTGATACCTTTTTCAAACTTATCGTCTCTCCCCCAAACTTATGTTTTAGCCAATTGAAAAGTGTTAAGGAAGGTTCGGGTGCCAAGAGAGGGTCATGACAAAACGGGTAAAGGCTTGTAACATAGTTATCAAATGAGAAAGGTTTTAGGCTCAAATGAGTTGACTAGGGATAACAACATTGGTGGGCCATGGAAAATTTCAAGCGGGTCATGGAGAGCCTACAATCACTTCTCGAGCCAAGCAAAACTTAAAATTTTGCCTCAAAACATATTCGAGGCAAGTTCTAGATCATTCGCACGGGTACTTGGACTTGCAACAAAAACATCTCATCTCTCACGTAGCTGGATTATTAAAGAGGATAGAGTCGAGGGCCCACAACGACCATATTCAAGATTGAAAATCCCTATGGTTTGACTAAACCACTCGATGATTGCTTAAGTCAACATAAGAGTCAAAAGATCATTAACTAGAGCTATTTCTTTCCAAAAAGCTTGTTTTTACCCATAAGCACGTAGTTAAATGTGTTGGTACCAAGTAAAGCATGTTTGACTCTTCGAGCCTGACTCAATTATGTCTTTTTATTCATTATTACTACTATTCTTACCTAAACACCAAAAATGAACTCAATCCCTTAAGAAGGTTGTCACGCCATCCATCGTTGGGAAGAGTCATCCGGTTTATACAAAAATTACCTTTGGAAAGAACCGTAGAATTAAGAAAATCAAAGGCTTATTGTTCACTAAAACATAAAAAGAAGCTACAAAATTAAAAAGAATCTACTAGATTAAACATAGACTAATAAGAAAACATAATAAAGAAGCTAAAAAGTAAACTACTGAAAGCATAATGAATATACATAATGAGAGAGGAAAAGAGAGAATATATATATAGAGTAAAGAGAAAGAAGAAAATATTGTCAGTTATTACAAACCAAATGTCTAAAGGTCATCCAAATAGCAAATAAACTCCACCCTCCGAATAAAAATAAGCATTGTCCCCAATGCTTAACAAAACAAGAATAAAGAAGGGTAAGAGTGAATAAGACTCCCTATGTGGCCTTGGACATATCCGTGTACATAGCAGCATCACCGCCCTCAGTATCCTCTAACTGGATCTCATCATCCTCAGCTGTGGGAGTAGCTGGGTTGGTGAATATCTGACGTACTGCCTCAGCAGTGTCAACAGCCAGGTCTGGCTCGTTAGACTAGCCAGCTGGTGCCACTAGAACTGATGGTGCTGGTGCTGGTGGTAGTGATGGTGCTAGATCTATCAGCATGCCAAATGGAAGATCTCCAGCTGTAACAATCTTGGTCACCTCTTTTTGCAGCTTTTCAATTGATTTCGTGGACGCCCGAGATTTTCTCATTTTCTTTACTTGCTTTCCCAGCTCCTCAATCGCTAATCCATGTTGTACCAAGGTGTTCATTATAGTGGTCTGGTTCTCCAGGAGCTTCTTCAAAGTCTCCTCCACTGTCGGAGGTATCTAGGGTGCCGGCATAGATGAATACATTGTAACAAGACCAGATAAGTCAGACAGCTTTGCAGTAGCTGTCTGCATCTAGTTGTTGAGGCTCGCCAAAGTCTGGGAGATTTGCAACATAGATAGTGGAGCAGAAGG